TTTTATATTGCTAGTGTTCATGCTCCATCTAAATAGGTGCTGAAAAATTATGACCCAACCTTTCAGGGAAATGAGCGTTTCAGCGTTGTAAAATAGTTTTTGTTATAGGTATTTTCATTGAAATATAAAGACCATGTGTGAATTTCTCTTTTGAATCCTAAAATGTTATATTTTTATTTTTAGAAACGTAAAATTGTATTTCAAATATTTACGGCATATTTTTATATAGCCCACCCAACCGTCGATCCCATTTAACTTGCTATAACTAATCCATTCAAACGTGCATCTCAAAAATACTGGCTGACTCCTATATTTGTTGCAACACCCCCCCCCCCTTTTTTTTACTTTATGACCGGTCCCTTACATAGCCTCTTTCTCCCTTTCCAGTATTACAAAGTGTCAGGAATACAAATTAGCTGAACTGCTGTAAAGTGTTCAAACTACACGGTCGTTTGCACAATCGTCTTATCCTGAAGACAATCTTTATTTTTTCCTAGTATGCTGCTGGTTGAACGTTTAACGATATCCAGTGATCAGTTTGAAGTCGACGTATGTGCTAAATGTGGTTTAATAGGATATTCCGGATGGTGCCATTTCTGTCAGTCCTCGCATGATATTTCCTCAATCAAGATTCCCTACACGACAAAACTATTATTCCAAGAACTGATGGGTATGAATATTATTCCGCGATTAACGTTGAGACCAAGTGTTGAATGAATAATTGTGTGCCAAAATTGTCTAACGGTCGTTTTTGGTTAAGCGTGAGTGTTGGGAACTCAGAATTGAATTCATATACTGATACAATGATTACTGGTCCATCCAGTCTAAACAAAATATTTCTCATATATATGTGATTAAATCCTCCAGGCTTGCCCGCGTGATAAACCAGGCTGGAAATAACTCACTCAATCTCTTCCAAACTAAATTTCGTTCAATATCTACTGTTCAGAGATTTTGTTCTTCAAATTTATTAAAATAATTACCTCCTGCATGTAAAAAGTTTAACTTTTTTACTTATTAAATATTAATGTTTTGTTTTCTTTTCGATTCTAACTTTGCATGGAGTCGCTCCGCTGTTAAAATCTTTCAGCCGTTTACTATTCCAATTCGATGTTGGTTCTCATTGCTTTAAACGTTGTTTTTCTCCATTTTTGATATGAAAATCACACGCGAATCTGATGGGGAAAACTAGAGCAGGAAAAATCGCGGGCTCAGGGGACAAGATTTTATTGATTTACGTTAGCCAATCACGATCGTGGTCTGGAAACCGCGTTTTAGTGTCACTGTAGAAAAATAAAAGTCAGAGTAAATCCATCTCATTTAAATCTGCGTCACGTTTAGCGGTGGCATTTTGATCTCTGTGTGATCTTCAGGAATCAAGAATCAGGATATCTTTCCTCGTGAAAATGTAACATGGCGATTCGTTTGTCAGATTAGCCTGCGCATCAACATGTGCAACCAACAGGCTAGCAAGCGCGCGGCTCCACAAGAAATGAAAATAATAATATCCACCGCAAAACTATGTGCTGACGTCATTCTGACGCAGTTAACAATGTTGTGACGTAATTATCGAAAGGGTCTATTTACATAAAAAGTAAATCCAGCGAAAAAATTCGTTCGATCGAAAAATTCCGCCTGTGGGTAAAACTGCTTTACTTGATTGGCTAAATGAGGTTTTCAATGTGTCTTTGCTGAAGTGTTAGCCTTGACATGCAATAGCCTCAAACATTAAATTGTGGTGGCTGAGATTTTTCTTTGACAAGTCTATGTCTTGGTATTACCTAAGCAAATCGCGATACATCACAAACAATCTAATAGGCAATACACAAAAACAAAGTCACAGCGTGAATGTGCTGCCTTAGATTTTTGTAGTTCGCAAACAAGGATTCAGGGAAAGAGCTAGAAGCTTAATTTAGAGGGGTGTATATTTATCATTTAATAATATATACCGTATATTCTAGCCTTCCGAAGACAATTAATAGAGTGTAGTGTAAACGGCGCTAGAGGAAAAAATTACCAAATATGACCTCGATTAAAAATCATGAGGAAAATCGCGTATTTCTGCCTCGGCTCTGCAGATTCTGTAAAAACCTATTGAAATTCAACACTTAATATTTGCGGCTTTTCCATAGTTAATTGTTCTAAGCAAAAGGCGGCCTCGACATGGAAATTTTCAACAAGATATTTCAGTCAATCGATCATTAGTTTTAATTCGTTACACAAAACATATTCAACAGTGAAAACCCTGATCCATCTTACTATCACAAAATTTTGTGACTCACTATATCACAAATGTGAACTATCAATAATGTTCTTGGCAGTGATGGTATTTACGTGATAGATCCAGTGGGGAAAAGTGTTGTCATTAAGTTAACGAACACAGCAGCAGGACGTTTGTGTGTCCAAGATCCCTTAAAGGTTCATTCAAAGTGTTATTGCTAAAGGCTATATAGTACCTACAATCATTTTCATAAGTAGTTGGGACACCTACTATTTTTAGCTAAAATCTACTATATAGGATGATTTCTATACATCCCCCCCCCTCCCCCCAATCAATGTTGGTTTTCAAATCCAAAGACGTTTCGGAACAAAATGTCCGTCTATTTGGGTCACAACATTGAAAAAGGGGCGCGGGGATCTGGGTTTGGCTTATAAATCGTTAATTTGGCTAACTGCCCCAACTCTTTTGAAAATGATTGTACCCTGCATGCAATTTGTCCTGAAAATGTCCAGATATAATACAGATTTATCATTTATATATAACTAATCTCAAGGTGCTCCACATCTTTTTTCTTCATAATTTGAAAAATGCACAGGTTGTTCATAGATATTACATACTAACGAAGCAGCAATCTATTGCAGATTATGCTACATGATAAATTATCATACATTATAAGCATTAAATAACTTGTGGGATGTGATACCATACCGCAAATCATTATTTAATATCTAGTGTCAGATTATTGATCAATGTGGCACTAGAGTACAGTTTCATATTTCACTTCTTAAAATGCAAGCACCCAATAAGAAATAGTGGAGAACTTTAATAAGACCATCAAAAACAATTATATCATGCCAACATGCGACATGAATGGTTGATATATATATATATATAACCTAGCTGCTCACTGAAATGTTAAAGATGACTACCCAATACAATTCTGGGGCCGGTTGTATCAAGCCCGTTTAGCTTAAACGGTGGATAAGTCAAAATTAAATAACACTCTTACATCTCTCTTGAATGAGTCAACTTGAATATTATGCACTGAATATGTAGTTGTAAACAGTATCTTTGTATTATGGTTAAAAGCATTATTTAGTGCTTGCTTGTTGAATAAAGCGATACACTTGCTTTCTATTTTGAACTTAACCACCGTTTAAGCTAAACGGGCTTGATACAACCGGCCCCTGGTGTTAATGGCACCGTACCAAGTTGTAGGCTACGATTACAAGCTTTGGCTGATGGCGTAAGTAAACAACACGCGAGAATGACGAATCTCGCAGTCGTACTCGTAGTCGCTGCTAAAGCTCCCTATTGGCAATCTTTCTACGTTCTCTAGGAAGTGAATAATAGTCATTATTAGAAACACCACTCCTTCCAAAAACCTTTAATTGATAAGGAACGCTCATCAAAATTAAAAAAAAACAACATAGGATTGCACTTTATAATTTTTACTAGGTAAAATTTCAGTATTGACCAAATGCCAGTACTTACTAATACTGATTAAATACTACTGAATTATATACTTAATTATGATAAAATAACAAGTGTAATGACAGGTACTAAAATTATCTGTCATAGTTAATTAGTTCACCAATTAGTTCCCGTAATCTAGTACGAAATAATAGTGCGAAAGATCGCCTTTGCTTTGCTTAGAGCTCGCGTGGTGTGTGTTCGTGGCAGTCGAAGTTGGAGGACTGCGTCCATCACATCAACTAACGACATTACGTTGTCGGAATGGAACTCCAACATAAGCGAGTAGTCTAGTTAAATTGTTTTTGTAAATAGTCTGTAGAACTATTATACTTAATTTTAATGCATGATTGATTATTGTAAATTTCCCTAGTACTAATAATGTGAATAAATTATACTTTATTTAATTAGTTCCCGTAAACATTAACCCAAATCCTACAAAATCTTATTTACAGAAAAACGAGTTAAATTATGAAATAACCAGACTGTTTTTATAGAACAACAAAGTGCCTTAAGGCGGATGCCATTTAGCGCAAAATGTCGCCTGATCGAATTTTTATGCTCGCTTTGTAGTTAAAACGGTCGAGCGGAACTAATCTCATAGGATGAGCTTAAAATTTCAAAAGAATACAATCAGAAAAATTGATCATGCGACATCTATCGATTATACATCTCTCATATGTAGTCAATATTTTATTCCCTTTTTACAGACTGGAAATTTTTGTCTGACACAAATGATAAAAACAGGAAAACCAACCATTTTTCTAACATCCTGCTCCATTCACACTCTCTAGCTGGTTAAAATATATACTATAATAATTATAATCCAGAAAATGGACTAAATCACACGTTATATCACATGACCTATTGGATTATAGATCAATCAAACTGGATCATTACGGATAGAATAAAAAAAGGAGGGCCAGGTAGTCTCTGGTATGTGCCTACATGACACGAGTACGTATATTTTATCGTAGAGGTTGTCATCGCGTTCTCAACTAGCTTTTAGTCGTACAAAGAATAGGGAATTGTTTATAGTTCAGCAAATTACAGACAATATATTAACGAAGTAAGTATAAGGCGGCTTTCCACCGTCGAGTTTTTTGAATCGTTGATTTTTTCATAAGTGTTATTTGAATGATTTTAAACTTTTACGTGTGTATTAGAAAAAAAAATTACTTCTGTTCACAATCCAATCCAGAGCAGTGGCGTAACCAGCCTGACGATTTAGTCCCGCGATGCCTAATTTTCATTTATTATCATTATTCATTTATTTAATAGAGCATTGTTTTCACGGTTGCTCAACACCAAAATTTTAGCATAGCATCACAGAAGGACTAATTTGCCATGCTAGCCAAGCCGAGTAAATTATCGTGATCTCAGTAGCAATTCACACCGACATCACGATCGTGTGTGCAGGTTAAAGTAGGCATATTCCATCCAGCATGTCTGCAATCCCAGATGTATATTTCATCACCGAATGGCGTGCAGGAGACTTCAGAAAGCAATACAGGACCACTTCCTTCGCCAAAGTGCCTCAAATTTCGTTTTCCAGCGAAACCCAATTGACGACAGATGACATCACCAAGAGAAAACGATGCCAATTCCATACCTGCTTTATCACAGATTGTGCCCCAGCCAAATGTTGGATGATATATTTCCACTCTTCCGCTCATGTTAGTACTTGAACCATTTAATCGGATTTGCAGTTCAGAGTGGGCTAATATAGACAATTCAGTATACACATGTAAAGATATATTCGCCGTTGTTGCTGCACCGCACAATTGGTATTCAGTGTTAATGTTTTCTTCTTTAAGCTAACTTTTTTATGGGTTCAAGTCAAATCACATAATATATTATTGTAATGGATAGAGAACTTGGTGTAGAAATATTTAAAGAATCCCTGCACCTATAGCACGATTCAACAAAATCAGTTGAGCATATATAGGCATCGTCATATAGTCGGGTGTTTCATGAACACACACAATGATTCAAGTCTTAGAAAGAAGAAGAACATTTTATAGGATAAACACTTAAATGTTCTTTGACCCCCCCCCCCCCCCATATCCTTAATATAAATTTTCGTGAAGGATTTTAGTCATTCCTTGAAATTCAAAAATATATTTGAAAACGCGATATGGTATACCTTTGGGAATTTATGTATTTTGTTAAAGGGTATGCGAGCTAGGCGCCGTAAAAATTCCTTCCAAATTTTTTATTTTTCGAAATTACCGTAGATACTCGCTACGAGGCATCACAAATAACTTTCACACATAACAGGCAGGTTGTAACAGGTTTTGAGGGAAATTAAAGAACTAAATTGCGAGCACGTACCTGAGCATGTAACTCCATCGAAAATAGTCCCATTCTTGCAAGTACAAACGAAAGAACCTGGTATGTTTTTGCACGAGCGTTCAAAACCTTTTTGATTGCATGGTGATGACATGCATTCATCGATATCTAAACGGAATAGTAACGATATCTGAAAGCATATAGTAACTATTAATTATATATATTATTATATTCATTTTGAAATCAGTGGTGTTTCTTGCAATCTGGTTGGTTAAGAATAGTGTGATTAATTCCAAAATCGCACTATTTTTGAGCATTAATCACATCATTTATAATCCAATGAGATTGAATCTCTGCAGTCTGCAACACAATAACCAATCAGATTTAGTATTTCAGTGTAACTATCCAATCAAATTACAGGGGAAAACGGCACAAAATTATGTTATTTTGAATTTTAAATGCCCCGCGAATTTTCTTGACAAAAATAGATGAAAATTACTCGCATTTTACACCGTTTACGGTCCTTTCAGCCAATAAATCGTTTTTCATTTTTTAATTTGTGTGATTTCAAAATGAATATAATAAAGTGGAAATTACACTTCGTGTCGTGCAATTTTGGTGTGAAATCAAACTTGTGATTACAAATTTTCTAATCACGTGTTTGATTTCACACCAAATTGCACTCCACTCAGTGTAATTACTATTAATAATTGTTCTGTCTAGCTTAGATACTCCTGTCTGAGACTTTATGATTTAATTCAGTATGGGAGACAGTAGTTCTGGCGAGTAAGTTTACCCTCTACCTGGGAGGTATTATACTCTTTGTTTGCCAAAGACATTGCCCAGTCACCCGAATCTTTTTAATTAAAAAGTGTTGTGATCAGCTGCTCCTATTACTAAAATCGCACAACTAAATTATGGTGTTTCCACAAACAAACGAACAAATTTACTATCATAACGCAATGCAACTTTTAAAGAACTTATAATGGAACGATGTCTGGGAGAAATAGTAGGTAATTATTTATTACACATACCTGTGCAAGCATGTCCGTTGTATTTGAAACCCTTATCACAATGACAAATTTCAGAGCCGTTAGTGTTAGAACAGTAACCGTGGAGACATGAAAGCTTTAAGCATCTTCCTTTGAATGAAAAATTAATAAATATTTAATTATCAGTGATAAGGTTTAAAATGTGGAAACAATTTCTCCTTTTTACGAGTATACAAGTATACAACTGGTCTTACTATAAAACTCTTCTGCTCAGTGGGTATTATAAATGGTGTATTTTAAATGGGAATACGTTTAGTTATAGTTAAATAATGATTAAGAATGTGAATCATGCAATCTCTTCAGTATCAATATATTTCTAGCAGCCTACATATATTTCGATGTTTGAAGTATTAGTTATTATTTTATGGCTTTTCAAAATCCTCTATTCTGATTGGTTGACGAGAGGTCCGTATAACCCAATGTCAGGACCGTGGTCTGTATATTCCGTATCTGGACCAGTATCCCGAATGTCTCACGCATGCAGTTCAGTGATATAATCAATCAATTATTAACCTTGCTTGTTCGGTCTGTAGAGTGAAATATCAGACCGAGCTTTTTTGTATGGACTTAAAAATTGATATTTAACAGTACAGACCTCACGCTCGGTAACACACAGTACAGTATTTATTGTTTTAATCGTTTAAAAATTACTCATTTGTGAAAATAAGGCTATACAGTGCGAACCACGATATTAGTTTTATAATAGATTTTAGCAATACTCAAACATTTAAATTAGCCGCATAATTCACGTGAATCTGTGATCATTTGGGGAAAATTGTGGAAACATTGTTTACATTTTATGTTGGTCACGTGATTAAAAATCCATTAGTTTAAAAAATCTGTGATCCCGATGGGACGAGGTAAAGACCTAACAGAAGGCGAGAAAAGCGTTATTATCAAAGAAATAGCTAAGGGTATAAAACACCCATGCAAAGCTATAGCCGAAAAAATAAGTCGCCATGTTGTGACATTAAAAAGGTTTTTGCACAATCCTTCTAAGATGAGATCTCTAAGGAGGTTTGAAGAATGTCCTTGAACCATGGCTGGATGACCTTCCATTGTCACAATTGAAGAAGATCATCTTCATGCATGACAACGCTGCGTCCCATGCGACAAAAGCGTTTTTGAAATGTATTGGATTCATGGATGATAACCTAATAATTTTGTCGATCATTAAGCGCCAGGTTTATGTCGATGGGAAGCAGTATTCTTCCAATTGCAAAAATGACCTGTAGATGGCAATAAAAGAATCCGCAACTTCCACCCCTAAGTCTACCATTTAGAAACTCACAGATTCAGTGAACGACCGACTTTCTTATGCGATCAGACTTCATGCACGGGGCTCATGTCGGCAAACAACTGGCTCAATTGAATGAATGGAATCACTCCGTGTTCCATTTCTATCACTGCGTGAATTTATAAAATTTTGTGTCAGTGTATCAACAATGAAAACCGACAATTCCAATAAAAAATTAGATAATAAACGATTTTCTGATGGGATTAATGCCGCTTTTCCGACATGAAACTAATATCGCGATGTGCACATTTTCATCAATAGGACTTTTTAAATCTCAATTAATTTTTTTAGAAGGAATATTAGAGAATTTATACAACATTGAGTAGTTTCACGCCAGGATTGCGTAAATTTAATACCATTTTATGAAAATTTCTATTTGAACTAATGTCGTTGTTTGCACTGTAGAATCATACCTTCTGGTTGTCGATTTTCGTCTACGACCAGAAGAATTTTTGCATTGTAGCTTTTTGGTAACCGAATATGACCTAAAATATTTCTGCTGGAGATGTTCATTATATTTATAACGATCGATTCTTTTGTTTTCCAGTAAATAACGCCTCCAATAACATCCTGTAAATAACCATCAAACATTTGATTCTTTCCACGACCATGGTAATCCATTTCAATTACGACTTCCTTCAAGTCGTAATCAATCGCGTACACTTTCTTGCTGTCATAATCTACAGACACAGGGCCATCAAATGCGAAAAATAGATGAGAAATCTTCTTTAATATACTTTCATCTTTAGTGGCCAAATCTTTTTTCCCCATTCCAAATACCTCAGTCCAAAAGAGGAATCTACAGAGAAACACAATACCCACTTGAGCGATCAAGTGATGACAGTGGCTGCAAATACTGTGAATCAGGTTACTTTAATTTGCAATACTTACCCAGCGATGGGGTCAATTGCCAATGCTAAAGCATAGAAGGATGGAATTAGCTTTCCTTTATCCTTGCCGTCCAATGTCGCCACATTGATGCTCCCTGGGTGGCTACAACTCCAGAAAATACGACGTCCTATCCAATCAATTGTTAATGCTGATACCATTGCAGCATCCTTTACAGCGACTTCTTCATTTGTGCCGTCGTAATTCGCTCGATAAATCGCTTTCTCATATTCTGCAAAGTATATTTTCTTGTCCACCGTATCAATATCTAGCGCGTAAGCATATTTTTTGCCATGGATAATTACCGTGTCATCAAGTGTAGTCAAATCTACCGCTAAGATTCCACTCTGGTTCCCCAAGAGCAAATATTGTTCTGGATAAGGTCCTAGGAAATGAGTAATATTTTGAGATGGGTAGAGTAAAGCATTTGGAATTTATGTCTGGTCGGGCCAGAAAACACTCCTCTCCTTGAAACAGTATTGGCTTTATACAAGAGTGCAATTACACATCGTAAAAGATGCAATTAATGCTCAAATTGCTATCCTCATAGCCAATAAAGTCGCAGTATTGTTAAGACTACTGTTTCGAGTGCATGTTATTGCGTTTTTGACGTAATTTCATTAACACGTAAACCTCAGTCGAATGTACTTGAAAAAGTTGTTGTCCGTTAAAAATTATATTAATGTAAGTACCATCATAGAAACATATCTCCACATGTATACGCATTCTGTTCTTGTGGTATTCTTTCGCTGTCTGACAATTTTGAGATTCAACTTCTTTTCCAGTTTTGGCGTTCAAACATCTGGTCCGCCATGCTTTGACGTCATCTTTAAGCTCAGTCAATTGTTTGTGACAAATGGGGATATCCTCGTTTCCGTTGATCAGATTTCCACCAAAATATATCAAAATCATCATTTCGAATACGGTAATCATTTTCGAAATAAGAAAATTCCTAGTAACAATGATAAATTCTTGCAATTTGCATAATGACTTTGTGCTCGTAGTACCAATTTTGGAAACAAAATTTAATTTTTAGAATAAATTTAAATGTCATAAATTATTCCTTTTAAAGTTTTTTTTACACAATCAGGTAGTTTCGTCGTCATTCAAATGAAACAAACAATTTCTTAAGCTATAACCAGACCTAATCTTATATTATCCCCGAGCCGGTGCGAGGGTACTAATTCCGCCCGGAGATTTTAATTACGCCCAGGAATGCGAAGTTATGCGCATGCGTGGGTTCAAGACGAGTTAAAACTGGTCGTTTAAAAACGTGCGATTGGCTAAATAAAAATTTGGGTCACGTCAGCATAACTGATATTTTGAATTGTAATATTTTTTTTAAATAGTATTTTTCATTTGTATGGTCTAAAAACATACGAAAAATTGACTCGTAAAATTGTAAAATTTGGGAAAGTATATATATTTTAAAGGTGAATCTGTTTAAAAAGTAATTGAAATTTCGCTAAAAATTGTAGTATTTAAAACTCTTCGTAGCACAATTATGATTATAGCTGAATTTGATACCTCGAGAGTTGACTTTATAGTTGTACTTAATATAGGATTTTACTTTACGACTTCGATCATTCAGCAGAAATGAGTATTGCAGAATTTCACTGTTGGAAATACTTGTTTATTGCTTCAGGCGAAGGGACTTTGCATGGATGTATAATTTCAGTATGGAAAAATGTTTTTCGAGCATTCTCATTGGCTCCCTCGCCAGTAACTATGACGCATAGTCGCTGCTCAGACGGCCCTCAGCAGAAACTAGTGCTTACCTGTTAACAGAATATTGCTGAAAATTCTTAGGAATTTCTCTTCCATAGGCTATCTTTAAAACCAGGAACGGGGAATCAAGGAACGGGGAACCAGGAACGGGGAACGGGGAATGGGAAATTTTTAAAAGCCGGAACGGAGAATCTTCGCAATCTTTAAAACCCGGAATGAGAAACATGTAAACAAATTTCAATCCCTTTACAGCCAACAAATTAATGTGACAGTTCAACAACCCTAAGCTAAATGGCAATTGAAATGTCATAATTTATATACAACGAAATGAAGAATTGTCAACCTGTTCGGAAAACAAATAGCTAGTGACAAACTAAGTGCTGCTTTTTTAACCAAAGGCTATGGTATGTGCTGGATAAACAAGCTATTAAATTAATATTTTTATATAGGTAGGCCTTTGATTTCTTTCTTCTAAGGAAAGGTTATGGTGATAATTTCATTTGTTCAAAAGATGCATGCTGAAATCCAGTTAAACTTCCACTTTCTGGTCTAATTTTGGTGTGATTAAAATCAGATTGGGCTGTCTATCTGCATCCGACTGGTTCTAGTGGAAAAAAATGTACCAAATCTGGTTACACAGGAAACACTACCATTAGGCATTGAAATGGTAGGGCAGGGGATGGGGCAAGGGTGTCAGTGTTTTTTTAAGTTTATAAGAGTTAGAACGGAATGCTAGCTTTTCCAAACTACTTTCAATGTTAATAGTAATATTAGGTTTTGTTGATAAAACTTACTTTTTAACAGCTTTAATCACAGAAGAGATGATGCACCTGATTACACAAAAGATAGTAAGTTCGCTTTCTAACGTTTTTCACGGATGAGGACATGTATTCATTTCATAATTCCATCGCATTGAATGACTTCTGCGACTTAATTGTCTTGTATTCCAATGCGGGTGTAAAACCAACACAGCAATATGATATGTGACTGTTTTTTATCCATAAAAGTTAAATATCACTCTTTTTGTTTACTTGTTTCGCATTCCGGGTTTTATAGACTCCGGAGATTCTCATTCCGGGATTTAAAGATTCCGGAGATTCTCATTCCGGGTTTTAAAGATTCCGGGGATTCTCATTCCGGGTTTCTCATTTCGTAATACCCATAAGATTACATACTTCGTGCTCTCAAAATTTCTGCCTTGGTCTGAGTGCAAGACTGCTTGGGGCCAAACCGGAAGTGGCGCAACTGTGCTGGATTTTTTATCGAGTGCTGCATGCAAACGCTTCACACCTCTTGGTGAAATGATCGACAACAACTAAAATGTGTTTGTTCCTTCGACTGGTCTGTGGCAATGGTCCCATGTAATCCATATTCCTCCGCACAAATTAACTTAAAATAGCTTTAGTTATAGTGGTGCGGTCTTGTGGAACAGCCTACCTAGTAATATCAGACAAGTAGAATCCTTAATGAATTTTAAAGATTGTTGAAACGTCATATTCGATAAAAACGGCATTCATGGAAAACAGGTTCATTTGTATTTGTATTATATATTTTAGTGTGAAAAATTTATAGTTTAATGTATGTAGCTACAATGTAACCCTGATGAATGCAACGTGGATAAAAAAAGTTCAAGGCATTATTAATTTTATCCGCGCGAGTTTCAATTATCATAAATTATTTATTTTTCGGTTACTTTTGAATTAAATCGATATTTCAAAACATCTAACAATCAACTGGTCTCCCATGCACTTTCTTAGTAAATATATCTTAAATGAAAATAAAAAAATTTCCCTACCTCTTATCTGGTTCAGATATATTTCTTTTCAAAGAATAAAATTAATGCTTCTTTATACATCAAGCAATATTATGTGAGGTGGATACACACTTCATGCAGGTGTATTTCTGTGTTCACTTTATGCCGCGTGCGTTAACTTGTCATCAGGCCTATGCTGTAATTAAACATGTTTCTAAGTTCACTTGTGCACCTGGCATGATGTCGTTGTAGAGAATATATACGTAGTAAGCTATTGACTTACTCACGAAGTTACACTGCACGAAACTGTACTTTCTTAATTTCAATATAGTAAATAATTTATCTCCTGTTTGCCTTTGAAATAAATCAATATTTCAAATTTTCGTGTTCACTTTACGCGTTAGGCCTACCATATGTACTTATAGACCTGCTCATAGCTTACTTAGGGAATATACGTAGTAAGTTATTGACGGTTGTCACATGCACCAAATAATGCTACTGCGCATGGAGTGTGGTAAATAAATCTTTCATTATAAACACGAACGATTTATCGTGTTTAGAAATGATGGAATCATCGGAATGACACTGAGAACCAATTTGGCATTTTGTCACATTAGTAATTTCATACAGTTCGTACAGCAAATGTATTCACACATGTCTTATAAACAGCACATGTCAGAGCATAGCGATTGGTAACGCTATAATGGCGCTAACTTAGTCGACGAGTTGTCCACCTTACATTATTAGTATACATACTACCCTAAAATATTGTAGAGTGCAATTTTTGAACTTATATTTCAAAATTTACATAATCGCTTTCTTCTATTATTGGCCTAAAACGCACTTTTTTGCTTGAGAGGATAAATATAAAGTCTTGGCGATAATTTCATTCAAAATTGCATGAATCATGGCCCAGTGATTGTAAGCGAAACTCGCCAATTTTTAAAACGAATAAATTTAAATGTTATACATTATTTTCATAATTGTTCACAACTATTTCTTCCCAACAATCTAAAAATCATATATTATTGAGGAAGAGAAATTTTCTTAACCTTTTAGTTTTAGCTGGCTCGGATATCTCTTGAAAGTGTAAATTATCGTGCACTCATATTTTTTGGCTTTACCGAATTTTGAATAAACTTGTTCAAATTTTCCACTATTTTTTAACCTAATAAACTAATAACCTTGGATTAAACATGCAGAAATTCTCCTACCTTTTCTCCTATATCCTTTGAAAGTATAATATTATGTACGGTAGGTATCTACACATGATCTAGCAATTTATGTGTTAAGTTCGTGCAATTTATGCGTGCAATTGTCGACTC